ATATCGGACTATCGGCGGGCAGCGACTCGAGTCGTTTGAGTCCGCAGTTGAAATTACCAAAAGATCAGCTTTTTAAATGAAAAATTTATAATTAGATAAAGTTTAACATATATTCTACGAAGGGGCTTCGGTGGCCTTACGGTGAAAAGCAGGCAGTAGACGTCATTCTCAGCGTAGCGACGAATGTGGTTCAAATCCGCCGTCCTCGAGTAATTTTTGCGTTTTGCTTAACTTTCTTTCTTTGTTTTCTTTGTTTTCTTTTTCGGACACAATAATCATTTTCCTGGATATATACATCTAAAAATAGAAGTATTGACGCCATAGATGAAATATACGCTGCAAGAGATAAAAGTGTATTCGGAGATTGGGCAAACTTTAATTAATTCACAAATGAAAAACGTATACTTTTTTACTCTTTGAAGATTATCATTGGCTTCCTTTTCACTCCAACACTATTCTTAGCAACAAAGTTCGCCATTTCGTTTGTTTATTACTCGCCAAAAACTATTAAATGCGTTCAGAAGCCTAAAGTAGAAAAAAGTTTACAGGAATCGACCAATCGAGCGAGCGAGCGCCATTCATCACATCATACCTACAACTCGCTCTTGCGCATGCACGCAATTCACGAGTTAAAAAAGGAAAAATCACCCTAATCAAATGATCTCAGCGTTCGGTCCGACAAAAATATTTCCGTGTTGATGTTTGCGACTGTTTTCGTTGTGGATTTTAAGACTTTGAAGCCCTTTACTTTCCAACTGAGTATTCCTACGCACATTTCCTCTTCGTTTGCAAGGTCCACAAGGGTGTATTTGATCAGGGATGTAGCGAAAAGAAAGAAATTATGCCGGCCGGTCCATTTTAGCCTACGACCCGACGACAGACGCTATCCAAGTTTTAATGGTAAGTTAATTGTCGAGCAGATCAAAGAATGGAGTGTGTGAGTGAGTGAGTAATTATAAGTAAATTTTCCTTCCATAGCAAAATCTTAAAGTCTGACTGACTTCATACCATGAGGTAAAGCGGAAAATGGAATTATAGCAAGAAAGTCCAGCCTCAAACACTTCAAGCGTCCGACCTGTTACTCTATCAGTCAAAATCCTTTGGCATCAAATAATATATTTTTTTCAGAGTTTCGAGGATACGTGAAGAACTAACTGAACACTATCAGGAATTTCATGGAATGAGTAGAGTGGTGATGCCAAGAACATCGTTGAACGTTAACACTATACAATGTCAGTTTAACCTGGTATTCTTTTCTTGTCCTCAATATTGAGAGAAAGTTTTCAGACTTTTCCACTACGATCTAATAAATCCTAGAACTTGTAGTCAATGAAGGATCGGGCTTGATCATCACATGGAGTGAAGGAGATACTGCCAGATAATTGTTTTATTATAAATAAAAAGGCCACCAAGATATTAGACAAATCTTCTCGACTTTATTTTGTTACAAGAAACCGGATGTTATAATGTACAGATATTAGATTATGGTATATTGGCTCATATACTATAATGGCTAAGCCAATAAAAAGTCTTGAATTGCATTATCCAATGATCCAGCTTTTAATAATAGCCATCATCTAATCTAATTACTGCATAAAATCCTCTCTTACCTCCTGCTGAGCTGGAAGTCTGCATACCCTATGAAGAAAAATTCGGTTGCAATAATCTGCCAAAGGCGAGTGTCTCCCGGATTCTTGCGAATTAAATCTGCAAACCGCTGACAATCACAGAATTTAACCTTAGCCACTGGCAAATTTTCCCACTTGAACATTTTTTCCACTTTGATGACGAAGCCATTCTTCTTTATCATGTCTTCCGCTGCATATGGTTCTTCGATGATTCCTCGTTCGTCAATATAATGTACGCCTAAAATCTTTGATATTCAACAAAAAATATTGCAGATGTATTTGAAATTGCCTCACATATTATTAGGACAACCGTTCCTCAGCAGGATGATTACAGCTAACATGAGTGAACTATTTAATTCATCAAAATGAAAAAAAATCGTCCAATTTCGACCTATTTGTCATGTTATAACTTTTCGTGACATGAAACCTTTTAAGGTGGAAAATGTCTCAAGAATTCCTGATAACATGCTTACTGGCAGAAAAGCCATTTAAATTTACCAAGCTTTCGCCTATCCACGGCCTCATACTCGCAGTGGACCTGAAAAAGCTTGGAGACCTCCAAGTCACTCAAACAAGATTGTATGATATACAACAGGCTACAAAAGGAACACATGAAACACCGTGACTTATAACTGTAATTTCTATTTCTATCATGCCTTTGAGATCAATTCAATTTTTTCTTCCTCTAGACCTACCTCAGGTTCCCTCAAGCGATTTTGTAGAATGCTTGCAATAGATACTCTCGGGTCAAAAATTGGCGGACGACCACCTTTCCCTTGTAAGCTCAGATCTAAATCACGCTTAGTGCGAAACGTTCTACGGAACATTCTAGAACAGCTAGAACAACAATAGATAAATGAATTGAAACAATATTGTAACACATAGAATCGCGAAGAGATTTAGAGGGAATTAGGTGGTGGAAAGGATTACAGTTAACTTCCAGACGCCTTTTGCGGCTTACGTTTTTGCGTTGCGCATTTAATATTTACTAATAAGTAACCCTCAATGCATCGTTATGGAAAGTTTAGCCGGGCGAAATGTTTGATCACTTATCAGCTCCATTACTATATGCGCGTTGAATATGGAATAATAAATAGCCAACAAGGCCCGTCAGGCCCCGTTGGCTATAATCATCTCATATCCGACAAGGGCGAGTGTAATAATTGTTTTATTAGAAACGCCCCAAGATATAGATGGATAGTACCAACTTTATTTTGCAAGGACAAACGGTTACACAGTAACACTTTCGGTTTAACTTGTCTTCCTGCGGGCGCATGGTTAAAAGGGCCTATGACCTATGGTGGCTAAGTCAATGAAAACTCTTGAAAGGCATTATCCAATAACTCAGTTTTTAATAATTGCATAGATCCTCCTCGTTGATTCGATACCTTAAATCTTGTCCAGGATTACAAGAAACATGCGAACTCCTTAGTCATTCTTTACTTGTGTTCTCTTATAAAAATCCCTCGCTGATTCCATTTCGTACATACCTTTCATCGGTGAGTTTACTATCCCATTCTAGCATGGCATGGAATGGCAGTGGAGCTGGGTTTTGTATTACACGTTCTCCCACTGTTCCTTGACTTAGTTTGGAAATATTGCACAATAATTCACCGACTTTGTGTGAAAGTTGGAACTTGGATGAGCTAATATCGACATAGCATGAAAAATGCATCCGTTGCGGGTCACTGTAAGGATGTCAAAACAACCAAAAATTAGTTTTTAGCATTTAGGGATAATTATATACGTCCATGCAGTTTGAAAAGAAATTTCCATATTCCAAACGTCTCTACTTATTGACAATTCCATACAAATTGTGAATTTTTTTTGTGGAAAATCAGCGGACATTTTGGAGTCATTTTCTTCCTAAGAAGAGCTAATGATTTAGAAATTTAAAATCAATGGTTTAGAGTCATCAGTAACTCTTTGTTCAGTAATTTATCTAAAGCTTAAATGCTCCCGCAAAGATTTTCCGAGGCTGTTGAACCCTTCAAAGTTTTATTCATAACGTAGTACTGCTTAAATGATCACTGCTGAAGCTTTGGACTTCCCAAAAATGCTACCCACCCTGTGGCCCTGTCGAATTTTATTTGGACTCCCGCTGGAGACATGTCTGGCTGGCTGATCTTCATTTCCTTCGCTTTGCATATGGTTTAGTCTAGAATCTCAAGTTCTGCAGAATAAAAATGTATGTTCTCCTCCACTTTTAGTACCTATGAAAAACGAAAACAAACATTGAAAATGGAGACTAAACACAACAGCCACTACATGAAACGCACATGGTCACATGGTCCTACGTCTTTGCAATGTCTTCAGCCAGTTTTCATTGTACGTGGTCAAGATTAGGGACTAGTTCAAAACGTCATTTTATCAATTGTGTGCTTATCCACTGTACTTGTACTTTGCCATGATGACGGAATTAGGTCAAAGGCGCCATTTTGCACTCCTGCGTTCAGTTCTGGTGCCCAAAATCCTTCCATGTTCATAAGAGAACAGGCTTTTGAAAGGTGTACTTGATCGGGATCCCATTTCACTTTGCCGTAGCGCAAACGGACATCCCATGGGTGCCAAGCCAAGCATATGTAATAAGTTAAAAATATATAATGCACCTTTTACCTTAAGTGCTTGGCATTTTTCGTTGGATTCCACCACCGTGAAAGTCTGCCTTGCAAACAGACCAAATGTTTCGACAGGATCAACCCGTTCAACACTCTGCACATTCTCATCACCAAGACTCACTGGTTCACAATTGATGACAGATATCAATTCGTCGGATGATATCCATATCGTGGATGCACAGTTGTGTTCATTCCAGTCTTCCTCGCGCAGATGGAAAGTCACCACGTGGGTGTTATCATCATATCGCAAGCTGTTGAGAACTACTGGAGGATTCGGCGGTGAGGCTAAGCCCATAGCAAGCAACCACTTGCATAGGAGATGAAATGGGTAAATACATACATGGATGCAAAGAAAAAAAAATCAACAAATAAGTAGTCGTGTGCATACCATTTTTTCATAATATAATCATTCGTTATTTGCTAGAGGAAAGGTAACATTTTCTGTGTTTAACAGAATTATTTTGTTTCTCACTTGTGAAAAAGCATCAGGACTGCTGACTTTCCTCCCCACGTACATTATCGGCTTTGGTGTTCCCTGATACCCAGGCATGACCGTCATTTTGATGTTAACTTTTACTTCAACGATGGGTTCTATAGTTGTAGAAAAATAAAATGATTTGTTGACGGGGAACAAAAGGTTCTCTAGAATTTGTCTTGCTCCTGAGTCGTGAATTTGTCCTTCATTTACTACAATCTCACTAGGGAAAAGGTATGCTACGGAAACTATGTTATTTGCAACTCCGTCATTAAAAAGCACATTTATAAATATATATATATATAAATTTACAAGTTGACGTGGGTTAAGATGCTAAAGAGTAGTATTACTGTTTTAAAATCCTACAAATATGTGCTAAAAATTCGACCGAGAACGCCGCTCTTCGGAAAACTCCCTTGCAACCTGGAAACCCAGCTTGGATATTAATATAACAACAACAAGATCAGAATTTGAGTTAATTGGGCTTCTTTGGCTTCTGACCTTATCGAGTAGATCACGCAGTTTTCTTGCAAGCGCATGGATGCAAAAGAAGAATGTTATCGCTTGTAATCTTGATAGTTCAGTGTCGTTACTAAACCGTCACTAAGTCCTTACCTGGTTTTCTCCCCAACGACGCCTTTATCAAACTCCAGGATAGTCCGTACTTCCTCTTAAATTCAGCTGGTAGCTCTTGTTCAAGAACGTCAATTATCTTGGCGGCTAAAACGCAAATAACCAACCCAAATTGCTCGTCAATATTTCCTTCCCATAAAACTAGGAGATTACATCCATTCTTCTTCCACTTGAATTTCCCAATACAAAATTGTTCAGATTTACTCTGTCCGTTCTCTGTTGTTGAGACAAATGTAGATAAAATGTGAGGGCAATTTATCTTCCCTTACTCACCTAAAAACTTGTGAACACAAAGTGCAGTATATTAGGAACAGCCTATGAATTGAGGAAGGTCCTCAATTCTCGTTATGTTAAAAACCAAGGCCGGGCGATGTTGATTACAATTAAGATAATGGTAATAGAAATGATTCGAACAATTGTAGAAAATAATTAGGGAACAATTGGTTTATTAGAAATATGCAAACTTTCGTGCAGCACAAGCAGTTTTCTTTGCAGAGCGAGCTTTAACACTTCGCGTGCCAACTCACTGCAGAGAATTAATTTGGAACTCGAGTTGTTTTTTTTAGGGTTTCCTTGATACAGCAGGACTGATCAATCCGCTTTTTCAGTGCTCGAACAGCATGAACATGCATACGCTCCAGGCTAACAGCTAACTTTAAAATTGATATGACCTTCTCCCTTGAAGAGTGGTTGTGCCTGATGTATGATTCGAAGCAAGGTCAGAGGTGATGGTGAAGTGACGCCAGTGTAATGAATGATTTCATTCGCTAGATTGAAGCAACGCTCTGTGAGACGCATTAGCGCTTGGACAACGTCAGTGGCTTTATCTGAAATTGCAAAAAGTTTTAAAATTGCGTGAATCACAAGGTGAAGTTAACTTGCCACAGTAATATGCACTTGCAGACAAACTGGAACTTGTTTTGGCTCTTAGAGCGAAGCGACTCAGAATATCTCCATTCTTCCTGGTTAGGACTCCGATTCAACCACAATTTCCCACCCTAACCACCCCCCACCCCACAAACTATCTCCCAACATACTTTTTGGCGATTTCAACGATTTTTTTTATCCCCCTGAAGTACTCGCTACGTGAAAACGTTGTCTCTTGTAGGCCATAACTAACCTATAGTCAATAAAGTCCTTTTAGGGTCCGCTTTCACCGAGCAAAGAGTCTCCTCAGTAGAGTCTAATTTGTCCGGAAGTTTTCTACACCGTACAAAACAAAGCACAAGGCAACCACAAGAAAAACAAATAAATAAACAAATATTAAAGTCACGTAGTATAACGGAAGCGTCAACGGACATAATTAGCAAGCAGACGGAATGGATAGACTCAGAAGGCCTTCGACTATAAAATTGTGTTGTGAATGCTCTGCGCGAAAAAAATCCTAGCAACATTTTTTTTGTATGGGTATTGAAAACAGCAAATTTAGGAAAACTGCATCGGCAGCAGTTAACGTTTTAAGGTTTAACGTTTTATCAGGAGGAAGAGTTTACCAGGATTTGGAATGAGATGCTCGTTGAAAAGAATTCATATTACAATATGCTGAGCCTTAAATGTTTCGAGAGGTGGCGTCAAAGCTGCCTCAGTCAAACATGTCAGCACTGACATTTGATATGCATGATCGCACAACTTGTCCGGCAGACTGCATCTGAATGTTATGTTTATTCAATAGCTTAGCATACTTGCTTCCCAATTCGAGATCAACAGCCAGCTTCAAACCGAGAACTGTTGGGAGAAGTTGCAACGGAACACCAACACATTTGTTGTAATACTCCACTATACTGTCCCACGCATGGCTCCATAACATGCTTGATGTGAATAGCAGGGAAACATTTGGCCTGAATATGAACATTAAAATGATCACAACAGAAACTACTCAGGTTTCTCGATACCCCTTGCGTATAAGCATTATAAACTAGTCAAATTCTTTTAGAAGAGAAATTTAATCGTTTGTATCACGATGAGGTCACTTGAGATGTGGATCGCGAAGTTTCGACTGCATTCTCCCTGTCGAAGGAGAATTGCAATCCCAGGAGCCTGGATGCAGACGATGAGAAAACACAACAACAAGAGAGCCGTGCGGCAGCGGACCACAGAGAGAACCTAATCCGAAAGATGCACAAATCACAGCCGTGGAATTCTATCCAATCACAGCGAAGCACAACGGCATGTAGGTGCCGTGTCGACCTCATCGCCTGAGGAAGACCAGCAGAATGCAGTCGAAACGTTGCGATCCACCACCCAAGTGACCATTTCGCGAAACAAACTATTACATTTCTGTTCTAAATTATTATTTACTATGATGAACCACAAACTATTTAATTTTTTTTTGGATCAAAGCTATGTTGTCGAGGGTACAATCTAATAAGATAACAGCATAAGATCATAGGGGGAAAAAGAAGAAGGCTTTTTGTCAGATTCAGGCCTATGGATGTGTCAATTTTACTTATGTTACTTGTGGATAGTTTTAAGAGGACCACTTCATGCGTCTGTTGACATGCGTGACATTTATTGTACATGTCAAGCATCGATTTACGATGCGATTTGTTCTTTTAATATCAAACTGACTTCAACAATAAGAAACTACTCTAGTAAACCCCAATGCTTTCCACTCCAGGCTTAAACCTAACTTAACTGATATCGACATATCCCGGCCAACGCCCTAATTTCTCCCCACTGTCACATTATGATCTCTTGAATAACAAGAATTAAAGGAGTTCTCCTCAACAAACTTAACAATTGTCACGGCAACAATAACGATGGGAATGAGAACCAAAAAAAAATTACACCTTTAACCTTGGGGAACAGCAGACGAGGACATTCAACAAACCAATGTGATCGCTGAGATTACTTGTCGAACAACACCTCTGGCGGAAAACCACTTGTACACAAAGTAAGTCCATCGCCTGTCCACAGGGTAACCTAAAAAATGATATTAGATGAAAGATGATGTCATTCAGTGAATTAATGACACACGCATACTCTGAGAAAATAAAAAAGGAGCAAATGACATATGAAATTAGTCAATATACACCATATGGCCAATAGCTAGCTATCGATAGTTTATCCAGAGTGGTCGCTGGACTCTACATGAGACTGAGAAATTCAGTGTTGCATATTTGTTAAAGAGAACGGTAAATGTTAGCTGGATCGACAAGCTGTTAGTTTTTGATCAGCAGCTCCAGGATCTATTCACACGCAGTAAAGAACTTGATGGATCTTGAAACCGAACAAAGAAACCTCGATGAGGAACAGACCATCAGGTTAAGGGCTCTAGATAACCATTTGGTATTACGACCTAAATAGCGAAAGAGCTTAAGAGTTCATGAAAAGCTAAATAGATGTAGAACTATGGCTAAGTAACGCGTTTCAGACTGTGTCGCACGCGTTATTTGCATCAAATAAATAGTAGCACAACACGCGGGACAAAGAGAATGGCCAAAATAGCGTTAAAATGACCATGTGTGACAGGGCGGCTACGGAATAAAGGCAACGAGACTTTATATGTTACATTTCTCACTTTTATTACATTTTTTTTTTCCATTTTTCTTTTGTAATTTTCCCATTTTTAGGACACACACGCTTAGATTTCAATCTTAATATGTTAGGTATTCTCGTTAATAACCATAAGATCCCAAATCACACACAGTACGTTTGGGCCACCTGTGATCAAATGAGTTGCATCTCACTCGTTATTTGTTTATTTCGACAACCACAG